AGGGTGGGTGGGGGTAGCCACAAGTTCCCTTAGTATATCGTTGCCAAACATTTGGGGGGCTGCAGTGGCATAGCTCAGCGCGGGGTCGTGCCTCTTGTGGTGAGTTCACGCTTGGTGAGGTCGACTTGAGAGGAGGGAGACACGAAAGGTAGGACAGCGGGAAAAGAAGAGAAGGCGAGAGGCAGGAACAAAAAGGCAAGATTCGACATGGTGTTCCTACCTCGTTTCGCCAACTAACTCTGACATTGGGCTGTAGAAAAGGAATGCCCCTAGACTAATCACCACTACCGCAAATAGAAGCCGTTGCTCATATGCTCTCGAAATGTTCAGAAAGATTCTTAGGAAAACAACGTTGCCCCATGGCTCAGATCATCGGTGAGCATTGAATCGGAGCATCATAGGATTTAAACTATCCTGAAAGCAGAAGAGGCTCACGAAGACATTCCCCAGGAGAGAATTGACGTGGTTCACAAAACAAACTCTAGGTATGTATCCCCTCGGGGAACACCTTTCGTGATTAGAGTTTCGTATGCACTCTTTTTGAATGTTCAAGAGGGTTTCAACCATCCTGAAATCATGAGAGGCTGACGAAGACGTTCTCCAGGAGAGATGAGACGCTCACGCAGACGTTCTCCAGGACAGAATGAGAAAATTGAATTTAGAGGGGGGGGGGTCTGTATTGAAAAATCAATTCCAAGGGGGGGGGTCTGTATTGAAAAATCAATAGAAGGGGGGGGGTTGAATTGAATGATCAATTATTAGACCCGGACTCGCCGACACTTGCTTCGCAAGTCAAACTCAAAGTATCCCATAAAGGGCTACCTTTCGTGATCTGATCTAGGTATATGTTGGTAAAGGCACACACATTCATGAAAGGTTATCAGTCTATTCCAATGTCTGTATGGCAGTTTAGTGCAGTGATCGCAACAGTTCCAATGCAGGAAAATTAAATTGCTTTTGCGCACGGGTATCTATTGCAGTACACAACGGGCAGTGTTCTGTGGTTGAGGACATCGGCTCAAGATTAAGGTATAAATGCAAATATCTGGTGGAGTCTTCCATACAGTGACAAGAGACCTATCAAAGAATCATAGGGCTAGGCCTGGACTCAAGACTCTTAACTCCATTGGTTGACAGTATCAGTATTTGGCTTCCAGTTTACTCGAACAATGTTCTGTGCTGCTCTCGTAGGGGGCCTGTATATCCAGCGGCTTTCAGAAATTCTTATGTGAGTGATGGCACAATCTGCACAAGGCTGCAAAGTGACACCTACGGAGACATGCGTTGTTGTGCGACGTAGCTCATCAAGAAGCCTGGAACCTACTACCTCACTTTCTGTCCCTCAAAAGGTGGCAAATGGCTGATCGAATCTGAATGCGTCGTCACTTACTGTCTGTGGAAGTCGCTTCAATCGTGTATATCGCACCGAACCATAGTTTTAACTTGCTCTCTGCGACTTCCGAGAATCTCTTGTATGGCGCAGCGTGCGGCGTGAATATGCGTGAATCAGTGGCGGATGTTTTTTTTGTTTTTTTATAGCAATCTCCACGTTATCAGATGGGAAAAGGAAGTGTGGATAGCATCGCAAATACCACCGCGACCGTAATCAACCCAGAAAAGATTCTTCTCTTCTCCCTGTCCCATCTAATCTATGCGCTCACTTATGGTCTTCCTCTCTCCCGTTTGTCACCCGCTGTTTGTCTTTGTTTTCATTTCCGAATCACTCCGTCCTCCTATCTCCTTGGGTTTCTTCAGTCATTTTCGTCTGGAGTGCGATAATGAAAGGAAGGAGCTGTGATGGAGTTTTTCTCATCCCAATGTGCAAACACTTCTTGCCATGATTACTGTCTGTTCTGTCCTGCTCCTGGCCTGTCTCTAAGTTCATGAATGGCAGTCGTCCAGTTTCCTGCTTGCCTTGCAGCTTGCTCCCAATCGTTGGTTGCTTCCTCTTGAATCCCAAATTTGAACACACTGTCAATATCTGTGAATTTGGACAAAGTTGTCTCGTTGCCTGTTCAGCGACACTTCAAGCGGGACAAATTTCTAGGGAGCATTCAAAAAACATAACAAGTGAGACATCTATTGGGATATCATGTCAAACATCAACTGCAGCCAAACGGAATGGTCTTCTGGATTCCGGATTCCCTTTTGCTGGAAAGGTCCTTCAACTAGTCTGTTACGATAGATTCCTCTATGAATAGATCGAGGGAGACCCTATAATACAGTAATTCCCCTGAAAATGGGGGGCTGCATGGTGGCATTCACTGTCTGTTCAGCGCTAGTGAATAAAGCCGGGATGACTTATCCCAGTTGGTTCTTGGGAGATACCACCAATGGCTAAAACGCCTTTCTTTAATTATTGAAAGGGCTTGATGAAATCCCTCTAAGAGGTTTGAATTCAGAAGCAAGGTCAATACCTACAAACTCATAGACTCACTAACAAGCCAGCTTCTGAGAAAGAGACTTCCATCATATCCACCATGAACCCACATCGCCGCATTGGTAGAATCCCATGCAGCTACATGCTGAGCTCGTGGAGATGGTGGATTAAGATGCGGGATCCTAATCCAACTGCTCAAAATCCGGGAGTCAAACTTCCAAAGGTCCTGATGCAGTTTTGCTCCGTCAAATCCACCATGAATCCACAGGATGCCACCATCACTATCCCACACTGCCACGTGCTCGCTCCGACCAGAAGGATTGGAGCCTGAGCTTCCTCCCATAACAGTCCAACTCATGGAATGAAGGGAATACTTCCAAAGGTCTTTGAGGAAATCGCTTCCGTCGTAACCGCCATGAATCCAAAAGGCCTGTCCCTCAGGGTCCCAAATGGAAATGTGATCTTGACGCCTGCCAGGACCCTGAGAAGTATCAGAAATCCGTGTCCATTGATTGCTTTTGATCTCAAAGGTCCAAAGATCTTGCTGAAGGCCTTCGCCGCTTCCGGCAGAAATCCAAAAGCTCTGCCGTGTATTGTCCCAAGAAGCTGCATGCTTTGAACGTGGAGACGGACCCATGTCTTTCGTGACGAGACTCCAGGTAGCACATGCAAAGGCCATCCAGTTGATCAAACAAAGCCAAAATGCCTCTCTTCTGGAGGCTAGTGACATGGGGTTTGCTGCGGATCATTTTGTCCAAACAGCATGCTTGACGAATCCTAACTCTACATTGACATTTTAAGGCGTGAAACAACTTGAGTCAAATACGACAGCAAAGGCATCATGAAAAATGCTCATGACTCGTGTCTATGATACTCAACCCTTCTCACGGGTGTGGATGCACACACACACACAAACACATGGTTTCCCAATGTTCGAAAGGATGCCAACCGAAGCGCTTGTGCAGTCGACTTTCTGTTGAGATGCTTGGGTTGTGACGTTGAGCATCCCTGGCTGCAGGATGCTGCAGGACTCAACTTCACAGCGTCGGGACCTCGGGGCCACAACAACTGTGCGGTTCACAATGACGGATGGTAGAAAAACATAGAAAACATGTCTCGGACATGTTTTTCCAGAGATGATGGGACACTCATTTGATGCCATCTCCCGAAGTGCAAGGAAGTGCTGTTTTCTTGTCGAGCTAGCGAACTTGTCTATCAAGGCACCACTCGCTTCTTGGAAGTTGTTGCCTTGCCCAAATTTCTCCAAATTGTCGTGTGGCTCTCTCTTAAAGCTCCCGAAGGGTGGCCCGGTGGCCCACATGCGGACGCAGCACCTAAGCTGCGGCCAATTCTTGATTTATCTTGCAGGTGTGGCTCTTGTGGCTCTGCTTCGAAGAGAAGTGAGTCTTTGGTTCAAATCGGTCCAATATGTAGATGCATGTTGATCTTAGATACTTCACAAGCAAACAACCATGCAACAAAATGCAACAAAAAAACACTTGCTGATATAATCTAAACGAAAAGGAGCGTTTCATACCTGACTCATCTTTACTCACTTCGTGTCCCAAACTTTGTGGGATATTATATGGACGTAGGCAACGTCTTCTCTCTGCTCTCATCTTGTCTCCCAACCTCCTGTCAGGTACGTACTTCTGGGTTCCGCTTGAGCTGCGGGTATCCAGGTTCCCGGCCAGGAATTCGTCCTAGTATACCTGGGTGTTCCAGGTTGTAGGACCCAGGTCCAGGGGTGTTCCTGTTCGCCACGACCCATTCCCAACGCCCTTTCGGCACTGTCACCCAAGGCCCTCCCATGGTGGATGTCATCTGTCCCTTGGTTGACTTCACTCTGGCTGGTGTGGCCAGCCTCGGTCTGGGTGTTGGAGCGGAGCGTGACCGCTGGAGGAATTTGGGTCTGGGCAGTTCAAGGCATAAAGGGGCTGCAGGATATGCTGCCTCCTTGACTGGTGGTTTTGCAGGCTCTTGAGTTGCCTTCGCAGGGTCTGGTACAGCAACTTGAAAGGAAGGTGGTTTGACTGCCCCCGGAGCTGTTTTGGTGTGTGAATGTGTCTCTGGAGGATCTGCTGTGACTTCCGGAGTTGCTTCCAAAGCTGGTTGCTTCGAATTGTTGGAAGGCAATACTACGTGCCCTTCAGTTGGATCAGGTTTAGTTGCTGCGGGTATCGCTGTGATGTCTGAATAAGCTTGTGCAGCAACACAAGGTTGTGGCGGATCCACATACGCCTTCACATTTGGTTCTGAGAATGATCGTTTCGGAACTGATGCTTCCCCACAGGCGACCGCACTGAATTGAGGTGTGGTTGCTGCAGGTACTGCTGAAGGCCATGCCGGATCTGTGTTCACTTTCTGATCTGGCTCTAGGGGTGGTTGGCTTGGAACAGTTGCTTGTGAATAGGCTGCAACATGGGATTGAACT